GTATGTGAATGTTATGTCATCTCTTATTCAATCAATTCATGGAGTCTAGTAAATAGTTTTTTGTTATTACAGTATTATTATTATTAAAACTATATACCTGAGCGAGCATCAGACAATTAGTCTATGTAGTGTTTCTTTGTGTGTATGTATGTATACCCTCTACCGCCCCCCTATCCTCACAGAATTTAAACATACACACATATATAGAGAGATATGTAGATATATTTATAGCCCATTCACACCCATTTGGGGTAAAAACAAGTTTTGTTAAAAACCATTTTTTTATTTTTATATTTAAATATATAAAATATTTTTTGTTTGTTTGTTTGTTTGCGAGTGAGAAAAAGTTTTCTCTCTCATCGGTCGAAAAAATAAAAATAAAATATTTTTTATGGTATAAATTGGTGCCTAATTTTCCTTCCAGACATACAGTATATTATGTATGCCTGACTTATGATAAATAAAAAATATATATTGCAATATTGCATAACATTTTATTTTTGTTGTTCGCCAATTAATTTCAATGCGAGCTTATTGGGTGTAATTACAGGACATACCTGAGCGCTGAGCGCGCGCGTAGGTGAGAGAGAGAGAGAGAGAGAGCTCTGGGTTAGGTAATTATTTGGGGAAGACATCAATTTTGATAATTTTTTTAAATGTTTTATTTGTAAGGAAATAGGAGTTGTCTTACTCTCTTAAGGCCTGATATTAATATACATACATTTGATGGACAGTTGTTTATATATATATATATATATATATACTGTATATGAGGAGATTGTTTTCTTATACATCTAGAAAAAAGTTTTTAAAGTAAATACATTAGTTATTTGAGATATCGTATCTCTCTCTCTCTCTCTCTCTCTCTCTCTCTCTCTCTCTCTCTCTCTCTCTCTCTTTGACGGTACGGTATATTTCCTCACAAATAGTAGCTGTAATCTAAGCGCTCGAGTTAATAAAATAGTGCAAAAATCATGTATTTTTTTAATAAGATATGTACAGTACAATCAATGGTGGTGTGTGTGGTGGTTAGGTTAGAGAAAAAAATAAACTACTTGTGTGCTCTCATTTCCTGTATTTTTGTGTGTTAAAGTAGGCGTAACCGGAGCTCACAAAATGCAAACGATATATATATATATATATATATTTTTGATGTATATATATWTTTTTTGTTTAAAAAACTAGTGATTAACAAAAAAATACTGTATTTTATATATATATGTACTGTATATAAATATATATATATATGTTGGGTCTCTGTGATATCGGCAATTGCATGAGTGACAAAATTAAAGAGATATATAATTTATATAATAATTATATACACATTATATACAGTACTATACAGCATATCTCATGATATGAAAATATTTTAATTTCATAAATCATAGTTATCAACAACAAAAATATTAAGAGAGAGAGAGAGARAGAAAAAAATAGACAGCAAGTGTGTGTAAAGTTAGACATTAATTATGATTTTTGATATTTTTGTTGAGAGAGAGATATATAAAACAGGAAAAGTAAACTCTCTCTCTCTCTCTCTCTCTCTCTCTCTCTCTCTCTCACACACACACACACACACACACACACACACACACACACACACACACATGTTAATGAAAAACCAATTGATAGACGACAGGTAGTAATGGTGGTGTTGTTCAATCAATTTAACTGATCATATGCTGTGACTACCAGTTTTTTCTGCATTGTATTGAGAGAAATAAAAACATATTTTTTCTTATATAAGGAAATATTTGATTGAAGCAATTATTAATACTGTATTATATACTAAGTATATAAATATTATGCAAATTTTTTTTTGAATAGAAAAGTAATTGATATATAATTTATTATATATACATATAGTAGTTATATTATTAATAATTGTTTTTTTTAATTAATGTATTAATAAATAAATAGATACACACTTTGAACTAAACCGCATATAAAATGATATCTCATTTTGATATAACTTTCATCTATTATATACAATATATAAAGTGTTAATACATGTATGATAGCTCAGGTCTCTGCCCACTCTTTGCTATAATCAGTTAAATGTACTGTAAAATCACGTGAATGTCATACTTGAAACTATATTTATATATTTTTATAATTTAAAAAATACTTATGTATTAGTTATGAAATGTAGTTTTGACAGATTATATACTGTATATTAATTGTGATCAATATTTTGTTATTGTTTGCAAATAACAATTATCAGTATACTAACTATACTACTACTACTACTACTACTACTACTACTACTGTACAGTCGATTGATTTTCACACCAATAGCTTTAGTTATAATGTATTAACTTTAAAAAACAAACTTAATAATGATTTACACACGGAATCAAACAGTTATTATTATTATRTTTTTTGTGTTAATTATTTTTATAATAATGTTATTATTATTGTTTCTATTTGGAAAAATTTGTACACATTTTTAGCTGTGTTAAACACATACACACAAACATATGTGTTTTTAGTTTGTTTGTCTCTTAAACTACTATTAATGTGTCTGATGGGTGATAGGGTGTTATGAAAAATTAAATGTATTTTTAAAAAAACATATACTTTATATACAGTATATACTTGAAAATATATTACACATGCAAGTTGGTGTTTGTCTATCAAAAAAAATATTTAATAGCAATTTTCACACTCAGTATAGTTTTTTCCAACACTATATTAGTTTTTTTCATAGACATTAATTTATAGAAATTAAAAAAAATAATAATAAATATAATAAAGTAATGCTTTTTAATAGAAATAATACATACTATAAGTAGAGAGAGAGAGAGAGAGAGAGAGAGAGAGAGAGAGAGAGAGAGAGAGATCATGTGCTGGTTATTATTAATGATTAGTTAGTTTGTTAGTCACACTTCCATACACAACAATCAACCAAACCAACCAACTATCTATCTATATATCCTACCAGTGCTTTGCAGACACAATGTATCCTTGAATTATACTGTATTTTATATACTGTATATATATATATATATATATATATATATATATATATATATATATGACACTTGCATTTTTTAAAATATTTATTAAGACAGGGGCTGAAAAACATGTGATTGATTTTTTAAAAATAAATATATACAATATATATAATTTTCTTGGCTTAGCCTATCTATCTATGTGTGTTGAATCACATTCATAGGCTTGAATGACTGCCAATGCCTATCCTATCCTTTTTTTTTATTAAAAACTACAGTATCTCAATACACTCGACTGAGTTAAGAAAAAAAAGGACAGCACTGATAGCTCTGAAAATCATATAGTTATATACAGTGTATTCATAAGCAACAACAAAAAAGTAACATACATTACATTGTTTAACATTATGGGTATTACAAACACACAAAAAATGTTGACAACTTATATGGGTATGAAAAGGGTGTGTCATATGTGTTATAAATGTTGGGAATTCACTGTTAGTCTCTTTTTATGAAATAGATGTCAATGAWTGAAAAAAATGAAACCCATATTGGATTTATTGACGACTAGTGTTCCCTTTAAATAATATATATATATATATATAAATTTTTATGAATGAATACCACTACTACCCATTTCCCCACTGGCACTGGAGGTTTTTTGGTGGGAGGGGTGGCTCTCTCTCTCTCTCTCTCTCACTTCAATAGCTTTCTCCAGTGAACTGTTGATTGTATTCATTGATAAACAGCTGTTTTTGAGGTCTGAACTTCAAATTCTCGGTGTGTGTGTGTGTTAAATGTTAGGACATAAGGTTTACTTAAGTTTAAAAACTAAAAAATATATATTCATAATATACAGCAAACTGTATGTTCTGTTAGGTGCTCTTAGGGGTATATATCATGATTGCCTCCTAGTTTATACCCCCACCAGTGAGCAGACTATTTATGAAGTAGTGGTATATATATATATATTATATATGTTTGGATGAGTTAGTGTGAAGGCATTATTTTTTTCTGAAGGCCCGGTGCCGACACATATGCAACAACGACTTGTTTGGTGCCCATACATGAGCTTAATATGCAAACCTTTTATTTCATTTCTCTCCCTGACATCTAAGTGTCGGTGCACTGGCACTGGCAGCTGCATTCTCATATCCGGCCAACCAAATGTTCCCCTATTATTCATGGCATTTAAGCACACAAACTCATCAGTATGTCTAGTAATGTTGGTGTGTGTGTGTGTGTGTGTGTGTATAGTATAATCTACCTGTGCATGAATGAGAACCTCCTTTTATCACTTTGTTTTGCATATAACGCTTCACATAATATTCACGACCAGAAAAATGGCTTTTAAATGAAGAAAAGTTTTCTCTTATTTTTTTTGAGACAAATTTAAATTTATATGACCAGTCTCTATGTGCATGAAAGGGGTCTCTCTCTCTCTCACTCACTCACTCACTCACACTCACTCACTCACTCACTCTCTCTTTTCTCTCTTTCTTTCTTTCTATTTGTATGGTTACATATTTGTATGGATTATGAGAATTAGTTGTATATATATAGACTTTTTTTAAAAATACCAAACCCCATACCATACCATACCCTACCTTACCATAATCATCATTACCACCAGCACCACCCTATTTGCTTGCATCAGTTCTCAAGTGTTCAAAATACTATTGTACTTTAGGATAGCGCTCTCTTTATCATATCAGACATACACACAGACAACCACTTTATGGGAAGTCCTTTTTTTCAACAACAAAAAGTAATTAATAATTTATAAGATTACCACTGATATGATAATAGTATTTTTCTGGTGGTCCACACGTTTATTATTATTATTATTATTTTATAGTAAATGATATGATATGCTTTGATACAACAGACTGGTATCGCATTTACTATTACTTAGTATTTATACATTACATTTATAAACAACATAACTGTGCTGTATATACAATATAATACAACTTACTGTCAGCTCAATTAGTTTGATAATAGTTTTGTGTATGGCTTGTTATTATAGTATATTGTATTGTA